TCTGTGTGCCTCGGGGGGGCCGCAGCTCATCGGCACACCTGGGAAGGCGCCAGGTCATACAGGACGCAAAGAAACGTTTTCATGTAGAGGATGGCCTCGTACAGGGACTTCTGAAATAACCTAGCGTGGGGAATTATTGTGAGGTGTGGGTGGGTGTTCTCCTGTGTCCCGGCTGCCCGGGGCTCTGGCTGTGGCCGTGTGTAGCCGCAGCAGTCTGTGCAGGACCTTCACAGGCAGAGCAAGCTCAGGGCCAGCACCCTCTCAGCAGGAGCAGACTGCTGTCCTGAGAGGAAAGCTGGGCCCGAGGTTTCTGATACCAGTGTGCAGGCAGCCTAGGACAGCAGGTCATACAGATAGCTGGCATTGTTGGGGCAGGGGTGAAAGGAAGAAGAGGAAAGAGGGTCTCCCCAGCTAAGCAATGCCTGGTGCAGACCAATCTTTTTTCTTCTATGGTGGGGGCTGTATTGGACTGGATTTAAGTTGCACAGGGCTATACCAGCGCACAGGGTTTGTTGCTGCACCTTCATATCCAGAATAGTTAACAATAGCTTATAGGAGAGCAGTGGAGTTCATACAAGCCTTGCTCCTTCCCTTCCTTGTGCTTCTCCTTTGCCCTGTGCACAGCTGCTGCAGACCTGGCCATAACTGCAGAACTTGGACCAGTCTGCGTCCCTGGATGTGTAGTGTACGCTCACTGAAAGAGAGGCTTGCCCTGTGTTACTGTCTCCCCTGCAATGTGTGAGGCTTCAGGTATTATCAAAGGGGCAGTGGCCAAGGGACACTCACCCTCAACTCACCTTAGGCAGGACTTATCTGGGGGCCATTCAGAGTAGAGATCAATCTTTCAGTACTCTTGACTTGGCCTGGAGAACTGACTCAAGGGTAGACTGTTTCTCTCTGTCAACAGCAGAAGGAGCTGAGGAAAGGCTATATGTGCCTTTGAATTCACTGGCTCCTGGGGGAAGGTGGGGAAGGGTTTACTTGCTGCATGTAAAGATGCATGAAGATCTAGGGAACTAAACAAGGCTCATTTTGTGATTAAAAATTTAAATCTTTAGAGAGGAAATAGAAGATGCTGTTTAGTGTTCAGGATGTGTTCCTATGACGCCTTGGCTGTTGGTCAGAAAGTGCAACCCTGTCTTCTGCTAAGCAGTATTCCAGAGCTGTTCAATAATAAATGCCCAGCTCTAGGAAACTCAGGTTCTAAAAGTCTTCCCTGCTTCAGTTTCTAGTACAGAAAGTCCTGCATGCTGTCTACTAGCAGTAGAAAGCCTGTATGGTTCTCAGAAATGAGATACTGATTTTCTATGAGGTAGGATCCTGTGTAATCAGTGTATAAGGCTGGGTATGAGCTGCAGTAGTAAACAGGCACTCTTTATAAAGGGAATGATTAATCTGACCTTTTTTAGACATCTCTTTTAGGATAAGTTGAATAGTGCTTTAGAAATGTCTCATTCTCTTCACTGACAAAAGGAAAGCAGAGTGACTGGTTCAGATGTCAGTGTTTGCATTCTCCCACTTAGTGTGTCAGATCTGCTGTAGAGTACTGCTACTATGAAATCAGTGCTATTCTGAAAAGTACTTGACAAATATCCATCCGTGTGTATGGTTTTTAAAGGAATTGTTTCCATTAAAATTGTTTTTCCAGTGACACTTCAGGTACCTAAGAAACTCTCTGTCACAAAAACTGTTGTGACTCTATGTAGCAGTCATGCTGCAGCAGCATTGGAAGGGAGGAATAACAGGAGAGATGAAATGGAAAAGGTGCAGGTGAGTAATGCAACATTCAAATGCACAGGTAAGCTATTTGCTTTCCTGATGTGTTTTACCTTTGGCCTGGAATTTGTTATGTGTATACTGCCTTCTCGACATGGAGGAGGTCCATTTAGGAAGTGTCTGCCAGAGAAATGTCAGGAGCAACTGTTTTTCGATTTAGCTTCTCTCCCATTCCTCCAGGCTATCGTCCTGCAAACTAAAATTGAAACCATGCTAATGAAGTCCTCAAGATGCATTTGTTATCTCTGAGGGAACATGTATCTTGTGAAAAATATGCGAGAAGAGCATGAATGACTCAGTTTCCCACTTGATTTAATAACCACTATGCGTGAAGAAGATAATTTCTTTGGTTGCGCAGGATGTAGCTGTTGATTTTGTTACATAGGCAGAACTAGATGCTGTGAAAAATTTGCCAAAAAGTAGCTTTCTGAGAGTAAAATTTTTGTCATGACAATAGAAGGTTGGATTCTTGGCCAGGAATGAAAGAACACATGGAATCTCACTAACATGTGAAACAGTGACTTCAGACCGCTTCCCATTTAGGTGTTGTTTTCTGTTGCTGTATGCTTTATACACTTTTTTTTTCCTTTTTAGGCATTACTTGTTGCTTTTTTGATAATCTCAAATAAACCTATGCTCCAGCAACCCACCGGTAACTTCTTAAAAATTGACTTCTTACAAAAAGCATGGTGATACATGTCTGTACTAGCAAGTTATTGCAATAACATTACACTTAAAAACAGCTCGCTGTTTTAATGGTATCTAATTGTGACTGTTCATATATTAAGATGTAAACTTTTAGTCAGTGACCCCACTTTTTCATGTTCTCTCCTTTGATTGCACCAGTTGCAAGGTCAGTACTGAAGATCCTGATAACTCTTTTCATGCAATTACTTTAACTGTTGAGTAAGGGTGCTTCACAGATGCATACTCAATGTCCTTGCTTGTAGTGGTTTATAATCCTTATTAATATTATTGAGAAGTTTCTGTGAGAGTATCAATCTCAACTTCTAAGAAAAGGAGGTAGTATCAGGACAGGTGGGCTAACAGGCTTGTTGATATCTTGTAGTAATTGTAGTTGAAGGTGGTTGAATATTGAAAAAAGACCATGCTTTTACATCATTCTGGGAAACCTGGCCCTCAGGGCAATCACTTGCCTTTCTAAATAAGCAAAACAGTCTGGAAAATCCTCCTTTCAACAACAGAGCTTTCTTCCTTCCCACAGCCTTTTATGGTCTGATTGGAGAGTCTGTGAATTCTAGAATTGTTAAAATATACAACTCAATGGGTTTAGTAATCTTGGTTGAACCCATCCCACAGAGAAATTTCATAAAACTTTTTTTGTAAGATGATAAGAACTTCCTGTGAAAAATGTAGGTAAAATATTCTTCCTTCCTTAAAATGTAATGTCTTTTAAAAGATGTCATTGTCTTCACTCTTAGTCATAGAGTCATACGATGGTTTGAGTTGGGAGGGACCTTTAAAGGTCATCCAGTCCAACCCACCTGCAATGAACAGGGACATCTTCAACTAGATTAGGTTGCTCAGAGCCCCATCTTTCCAGGGATGGGGCATCTATAGCCTCTCCTGGGAACCTCTTCCAGGGTTTCAACACCCTCATTGTAAAAAATTTCATCCTTATATCTAGTCTGAATTTACCCTCTTTCAGTTTAAAACCATTACCCCTTGTCCTGTTGCTCCAGGCCCTGTTAAAAAGTCTGTCCTCATCTTTCTTATAAGCCCCCTGTAAATATTGACAGGCCATGATAAGGTCTCTCCTCTTCTCCAGGCTAAGCAACCCCGACTCTCTCAGCCTTTCCTCCCTCTGATGATTTTTGTGTCCCTCCTCTGGACCCACTCCAACAGGTCTGTGTCTTTCCTGTGCGGAGGACTCCAGAGCTGGACACAGTACTCCAGGTGGGGTCTCATAAGAGCGGAGTAGAGAGGGAGAATCACCTCCCTTGACCTGCTGGTCACACTTCTTTTGATGCAGCCCAGGATACAGCTGCTCTCAATCCCCTCGTTACCCAGCTGGTATTGATACCAGGGGCTGCCCCAGCCGAGGTGCAGGACCTTGCGCTTGGCCTCGTTGAACTTCATGAGGTTCCCGTGGCCACTCCTTGAGTTTGTCTGAATCCTTCTGAGTGGTATCCTGTCCCTCAGGCATGTCGACTGCACCACTCAGCTTGGCGTCATCTGCAAATTTGCTGAGGGTGGACTCAATCCCACTGCCTATGTTGTTGATGAAGATATACAGTACTGGTCCCCGTATGAAGTGTGTCAGTCTTCTGTGTGTCAGTCTTTCATCTCTACAGTGAAGTGACTTAATTACACTGTAATTTACAAGCAGGAGTTGAATTAGAGCTAAGATATTCAGTGTTCTACTTCAAGGCCCACAACCACTTCCTAAAAGTGTGATGAGGGGGTCTTTGAGATAACATTGTGGGATTACCAAAACCCAAGTTCTTCCTGAAGCCATTTGAAAGTCAGTCCTGGCTAAAACCTTATTAAAATCTGTTAATCTGCTTAGATATAGTAATTAAGGACTATTTAATTGGTGCTGCCTGGTAGCATAAAGGAATGGAATGCATTGAAAAGAAAATCTTCTCACATTCCAGTGAACATGTGTGGTCTCTTTGTGGGCCAAAACATGACTTCCTTATATACACAGTCAGTTTTCCACAGAAATGTCTGCACTTACTTTAGAGGGACACAGATCCAAGCAATCTGATTAGCTTTCTGCCAGGTTGTCTATATAAATCATACAGAGAGTGCCTCTCAAAGCTGAAGGCCTGCTGTAAAATAGCTGGGATATATAAAGGAGGAACACTTTTTTTTCCAGATGTGTTTTTGTAGGACATTCCTTGTCATGATTGCAACGGGGTTTTGAAGAAGAGTAACACTGAGTGAGGATAAAATTCACAGAGATAGGGGGAAGAGCATACCAATCTCTGTAGCTGGTGAAAACATCAGCTGCATTTCCACCTGATTGTAAATAAAGAATTACAGACAAAACAGACAACTGTCATCAGAGCATTCAACTCAGTGAACATTGTGAAGAAATGCATATTACTAGGTGTTGGTGAAGAGATTAAATCCTGTGTGAGCTGATCTGAGTCTTTGCCTGAATCTTGGCTAAAGGCCTAAGCTAATTTTTTTTTTTTGAAGTTCCAATAACAATTCAGATCTCCTTTTTCTTATCTGCTACATCATCTGTTTCTGTGACACCCAAGGAAAAAAAAGTCTTATTCCTTATACACCTTGTATATATTTTCAGTTTCATATTGTAATACTGGTTGAAGGAATGGGATCATGGAGTCCTGGCTCTGGGACCCTGGTTTGAGAGAGGACTGTGACATCCAGTAGGTTTTATGCTGGAATCAATGGCCTTGCAGTGTGTGCACCACAAAACTGATCTTCCCTCATAGAGCAAGCCTGAGGCATCAGACTTACTGTCTGCATGTGGAAAACATGGCATTGTATGCTGGCAAAATTAGCCCAAATGAGGTCTTTTCCAACCTTAGTGATTCTGTGATTCAGGAGAGGACAAGAGAGCACTAAGGTTTGGCCTGTGGTAGTACCTCTTCCGCTGGTAAAATGGCCTTGTTCAAACAGCTTTAATAATGTTTGTGTGATCAGTAGCAGTGAACTGGTGTTTTATAGAAGGAAAGATCATGGCTGAAGTTAAAGCACATGACTTGGACACTGGTGATCTGTATTTATTACTGATCTCCCATCCAAGGGACAAGCTGTTTTGAAGCTTTTATGTAAGGAGTGTTGAGCCCTTTGATGGGAGTTGTGTTATCTGTGATGCCTAAATCAATTTTTGGACAGATTTCTTCAGTCACGTTTTCACTTCAATGTATTGGCAGGATTGTCCTTTTCAGGATCCAGTGGTCCAGGAGCATATAGCATTGCAGAAAGTGGTGATGTGAAGGTCTGTGAAAAAAACAATTGCATCTGGAAAGGTATGTTCCAATACAGCAAATATTCTCGTGTTAGATACACCAGGCTGCATCTGCACTTGAAAAGCAAGTATTTCTACCTGCTCCAGCAAGTGTTACAGAATAATACGATGTGGCTGAGATCTGTGCTGCTCGGGGCTACTTCTAGAGCTTGTACTGCCTGTGAAGAGATAGTATTACACCTCTTCCAGTGTGGGTAACCCCTACGATTTTACCTCCTTTAGGCCCCATCTGATGCATTGGTGACCCTAAAACATTAATTTCCTTTCAGCTTTTAAGCTTCAGAACCTTACAAATAATGTGGGGATGTGCTGCAAAATGGGCATAGGATATGTATCATATGGACTGTTGGGTACCTGAGAGTGCAAGACATGCACTCAGTTTGTTCTTCCTACCTGTAGGGCAAGGTAGCTGAAGCAAACTGTCCCTAGCGCTACCTCCGGTTTCCACTGTTGGAAGAATTGGTTAATTTGCTCCAAAACCTATCTTAGGAATGAATGAGTGTAAGAGAGTGTGAATGATCAAGTGATTGTAAAACAAGTGGGATGTGAGGAGCTAACCTGTGAAATAATACAGATATTCTCAAAGTTATTTGAGTATGAGGCAGTTTATTAAATATCAGACCAACATCTTGTGGTGTTCTGTCTTGGACAGATGATTTGTTTTGGTGAGCTGGCTATTTCTGTGTATGGTGGGTCATAGGCTGGTTCATGCTTGTGTAAAAACAGTAAAAAGCAGCTTCTTTGTGAATCTGGAGTTCATCTCCTGTAGAAGAAGTTGGGGACTATGTGATAGATTTATATGTATATTCCTTCGTTGTTCTTCTCTGTGCAAATAAGACTCATTTCAGAACAATTAATAGCAACCAGTATAGGGGTTAGTCACTGTTTTTTTTATTGATGGAAAATGAATATCAGGAATACTGGGTTTTATTCCACCCACCTACTTGTTGATCAAATGGTCTAATGTGACAGTACTGACTACTTACCACTTCCTGAGTCTCATTTTGCAAAGTGACACATGCATGTGAGAGCTGAAATCCTGCCAAAAGTCAGTGATATCTGCTAGGACTCAGGCAAGATAACGTAAAATGGTGTTAGGAAGCTTAAGTGCCACTAATTACAAACCCTGTTTTGCACATCTTTACGAAGTAGGTGAATAGAGCTGAAAGGATGATCCGTTTTTATTTGGGGTAGATGAATTATTCATGAGGGAAGAAAAACCTGAAATTAGTAACAGAGATGATTTCATCCTTTATATCTCACTGAAAATACCAACTACCAATGTTAAAGAAGAAAAACATTTTCAGAGTGTTTCAGAAGCGTTGCCATTCATCCAACTGGTACAATTAAGTTCCTTAGTTTTACTGACTTAATATTACTTGGCTGGGTTCAGAAAGGTTTGGTAGAGTTTTTAAAATATAACCAAAAATCTAGATAATTAGAAATACGGATTTTTCTGTACAGAGAAATCTCATTTCAGTGATATTAGACCTTTTTAGGGTTAGAATGCAGTGTTACATATCCCACTGGGCAGGTCTGAGAAGATTGTTCCTGCAAATCTGCTTGGTTTTTTACTCCATAAAATTTTTGATATAGAAGAAAATAATTGTGGCCTCCTTCTTGCTCCTCTTCAGTCTTTATTTGGAGAGAGAGGGAGTACCACAGCTGACGGGAGACATTTGTTATCTGGCAGAAATGAATTTTGGATTAGGGGAGAAGATTGAGGACAGAGTAGGGAAGTTCTCCACAGTTTGTCATTGGGCTTCTGTATACGATGTTTATGTGTATATTTAAGTAATTTATAAAGTACAAAAACTTAACAGAAAAGGTTAGTTGTAGAGATAAGTAATGTCTTCTGCCCCTGAAACTTTTGATATTCATTCTAAATACTCCTCTCTGGAGAATAACTCAAAGAGGAAGTCAAAACACAGAGAAAAGCACAGAAAAGTGAACATCCAGCTTTCTGCTCTACACATTACAGCAAGGTAATTTCTTACACATAAAAATCTAGCATTAAATGATTCATAGTGCTAATGATCTGTCTTTGTTTCTGTGGTGCTTGTGAGTTCTTGCAGCATAATGTAGACAATGACCACAAAGGGTGACTCTTCTGCTTGCTCATAGTTGTATTTGCTTTTGTTTCTTGCTTATGTGTTGTCACAAGCTTAACGTGCTGTGGTCAAAGTGCGTGTGCTTTAGAAACCTTTTCCTGTGGTTAGGTATTGATGGGCGAGACCTTTTGGTGGGAAATTAACACCAGAAAGCAAAAAAGGTAATTGCTGTATGAGAGGGTTTTGAAGTGGGAGAGCACGTATGAAACATTCTGCCACTAAAAACTTTTGAGAGAAAACTAAGGCAAGAAAGACAAAACCCCCGCCATGTTCTGTATTGAGCTGGTACAATTTAAACAATATTGTGGACCCTATTGTCTGTTCTAGCTGACTAAATCCAAGGAGGTTTGAAAGAGGTGGTAAAAGGTGACTTTCACCTAGTTTAGTGTGTTTAGTGTTTTGAGCCTGCCCAGGATAAATTAGACCCTTCTGGCCTCCTCTGGAGAGACAAATGTAGTGAGAATGTGAAAGGTAGGCCTGAGAAAAACTGGTGGTGGTTTGCATTACTGAACTGCGTGTGATGAATCTTCAAATACAGGATGCCGAGAGGCGACCCAGAGTGAGTTTAGAGCTGTTACCAACATGAAGCCTTCCATGCCATTGGAGCCAGAAGTGAGGCTTCATATTGCTGGCTTGCGCAATGATTACTGTAAGTTAATTTCTCCTGTGTGGTGGTTTTTGCAGAGGTTGGGAATTCTTAGGTATGTTTCAGGAAAGATGGTGAAGGTGTGTCCCCTTCACGTAAAATGGAAGTTCTGCAGGACATGTGCATGATGTCGTTTTTGTTACAAGGATGCATGTTTGAAAACTGCCTGTCCTAAGATGGAGACATAACTGATCAAACCCTTAAATCAATACTACCTAACTCTCATGCAGTTTTCTTCAGCTATAAATCTCAATACAACTTTCAAGTCAAACCAGTATACTTACCTCTGCTTAATTAAGTTAAACTTTTAAGCTATCAGCCTCGGATATCTAGCAGCCAGTCAACACAGCAGCAACTTTATTGAGCAGACTTTGAAATCTCTTGTTTTGGGAGACGTCAGTGACATTGTTTATGGTTTGAATAATAGATACCTTCTGAACTAAATTCACACTTGTGTCATTGGAGGTGCATAGGCATAAATTAAACATGCACAAGTTACGCATGAACACACACGGATCTCTGGTCTAAAGCAGCAAATACATGTTTTAGCACTTCATAAGATGTAATGAACAACTCCGTATGTGCTTTCTAACTGTCCCTGTGGAGATTTTTTTCAATATATCCTTGCAAGCGTTCATTTATATCTATGAACAGGACAAAAATTTCTATGATTAACACTGATTGTGCACAAGCTATGTCCCAAGATTACAGCATTAGCAGAAGTCTTTTGAAGTGATTTCTGGCTGTAACAGAAAAAAACCCGGTAGAACTAGTAAACTAGTAAAACAGCTGACTGACAGATTCAGCTTTTCTTCAGAGTGATTTTAGGTACGAAAATATGATGTCAGACCTTGGCCAATGGTAACAATCTTCTCTGCTTCAGGGTTTGTACAAAATTACTTTTAAGCTGCTCTAAATGGGCAGCTGAGGATTTCTATTGACATAGGAGAATGTTCTGGGTTGGTATTAAACGTTGTATACCAATTTCTTCTGGCCTACCTGACACAGAAGGCTCTTCTGAGGCTAATTGCTTTAGTGACTTGCTTTGCCAGGATCTGCAAGTGCAATGCACCCAGCATCGGGGGCAGTGGAAACAGTATTTTCATCATATGCTTGCTGAGCAAGCTCTGAAGGTGAGGAGCGGAATTTCCCTAGTTCCTTTCTGCATTCTTTTTTCCTATCATGTGCAGGGTAAATATTATCATTAACCTGAAGATGCAGGACAGACTGTAGCATACACTATCTCCTGTGTCTTTCTCAATAACAAGAATTGCCTTGCAACAAGAGTGTTTTTGAAACTGTAGCTGTTGGTGGAGGAGCTTTGTTGCTGGTGGCAGAAATTAGAGTGAGTGATGTCGTGGTCCAAAATGCAGGGTGATAGGTTAAAAAATTCTAGTGGGGTAGCTGTAAGTCAGATCCTACTGTGCAAACATACCAGTTTGTGAAGATTAGCCTCATGAAGACCTTGACTTGTTAGAGATACTCTCCTTCACGTAGGAGGAATACTTGCTAGTAATGGTTTCGTAGAAGCATTCTCTTGAAGTTTTTCCATAGCTATTAAAAAAAAAAAAAGCCTCTCTTCCCCCAAACCATATTCCCCTTCACCCTATCCTATTACCTACAACTTTTTGGCAGTAATTTTTAGTAGCTTTCTTCTAGATCTAAACATACTGGACTGGAGCCTTGAAAATCTCATTGCTGTTGCTGTAGGATCTGCTGCACACGTCTGGAATGGAGGAACTCTTCAAGCCATTGAAAGCATTGATTTGAAGTCCAGTTCCAAATACATTTCATCTCTGGCTTGGATAAAAGAAGGAACTTGCCTTGCGATTGGCACCAGTGATGGAGAAGTGCAAGTACAAGATAATTTACTTTTTTAGTCTTTCTCCATTTTTAGCTAAAGTGGCCACAAGAAAATTTTTTTCTTTTTTTTTTTTTTTTTTTAAGGAAAAAAACTGAGAACTGCTGGAGAGAGTCCAGCGCAGAGCCACAAAGATGATTAAGGGAATGGAGCATCTCCCTTATGAGGAAAGGCTGAGGGAGCTGGGTCTCTTTAGCCTGGAAAAGAGGAGACTGAGGGGTGACCTAATCAATGTTTATAAATATGTAAAGGGTGAGTGTCAGGAGGATGGAGCCAGGCTCTTCTCTGTGACATCCAGTGATAGGACAAGGGGCAATGGGTTCAAGCTAGAACGTAGAAGGTTCCACTTGAATAGGAGAAAAAACTTCTTCACGGTGAGGGTGACAGAGCACTGGAACAGGCTGCCCAGAGAGGTTGTGGAGTCTCCTTCTCTGGAGACATTCAAAGCCCGCCTGGATGTGTTCCTGTGTGATCTGATCTAGGTGTTCCTGCTCTGGCAGGGGGATTGGACTAGATGATCTTTCGAGGTCCCTTCCAATCTCTAACATTCTGTGATTCTGTGAAATTGAAAAGATTGGCTAAACTGCAGAACTCTGTTGGAGACAATACATAGCACTTCTTTGTATCGTGCTGTACCTTACTGAATAGCTTAGTGACATTCAGTGTTATCAGCATGTAATGGAGCCTCTGAAAGCCACTAAAAAAGCTGATGACTGAATTAATGATTCAGTTGTTCAGAGACAATCGGATTTTTTTTTCTGCTAGTAAGAGGAACTCCTTCATTAAATTATTTTACTCAGCACAGTCTATTTTTTTAAATCTCTTTTGCTAAGATCATTCTAGTGATCAATGCCTTGAGAACTCAACCCAAAACTGTCCTTACGGATTCACATACGAGAATTTGACTTCAGTCTGACTACACACATACCTCTCAGCCTGCAGTTATAGGGCAGTCTTATTATCAAAGATTTTAGTGGGACTCAGATGCTAGATAATTACTGGCTCAGATGCCAGATGATATGAGGATCTACCTGCTGCAGTATTGAGCCAGCAATTGGAAGGTACTGAAGGCCAGTGCTTTCAAGTACGGACTTCCAAATACTGACATGTAAATAAATAGCTGTAAACTCAGAGATGTGCATTCCCTTCAGTCCTGTCTGACTTCAGCATCACTGATATAGGCGCCAAAATTAGGAAATACTCCCTCTTGTCTTGTGAAATAAATGAACTTGAGGTTCCGTATGTCACATCAGAACTGAGCAGTGGCTTAACTGCAAACAAATGAAGAGAACAACAATCTTTTTTCTTTTTGTTGTTAAATTTCTATTTCTTGTTTGTTTTGGATTGGCAGCTGTGGGACATTGAAACCAAAAAGAGGTTGAGAAATATGTTTGGTCACTTGTCTGTAGTTGGAGCTCTGAGCTGGAATCATTATATTCTGAGCAGGTGAGTGGTATAGTATATTCCCAGAAAGAGTCCTGCTGCTTTTACTTAGACAAATGCCCCATTCATTTTAGCTGTTTTCATTGGCTTTTCTCAAAGTGTTTCATCCTGTCCCTATACTTATCAGCCCTCTGAGAAGTCATATGTACATTTACTATATGCAGGAAAGCAGCCAAAGGGGATTTAGCGTGCCTCTGTAGTCTCTGTTTCTTACTCTGCTTGCAGAAAGCTGTTACTACTTGCAGAATTTCACTCAGATGTGGAGGCTGTGGCTCTGGTTTTGTGCAAAGCCTGAGCTTGAAATGATGGTGTCCCCAGTGGGTCTGGACTCCAAAAATCGTAGCCTGCCCTGTGCCAGGTAGAAGGCATGTAGTTTAGGCTGCCCCTCCATTGGTATCGAGACTACATCTGTCTTTTCAGATACACTACAAAACACAACTGTTACGAGTTGCACAGCTCTCTCGCTGTGTATCTACAAGGGAAGGTCATCTCGTTACCGGTTGGGCCACAACCCAAGGAGGATTGAGTGATTGACCTTTTCTTTGACAAGGGTGAATTTTATACTAGTTGGTGAATATTTTAAATTTAGGGATCATTTCAGTCTGGGGATTCAGATGAGAAAGATCAAGTTTACTCTTTTGTGTTTTTTTTTCTCCCACTTTCTGTTTCAGATCTTTGACTCAGACTTGAAGGGGTGAGGGGAGACTTGTTTATGATGGGTGCTTCTGGAATTTTGAAATCATATTATAGTCTTATGTTTTACTTAATGCAGAAATTTACTTAATGCAAGGGTGGACTGAATTTATTGTTAAACTCAATATGAAACTAGTATCTCTTGATAGGAACACTAGAAGTAGTTGTATTTTGATTTCACAAGATGTTCTGGTTTTTGATTGTGTTAGGTCTGCTAGGTGGAGTGAGGGACAAGGATACCAGCTGAATGAGTTAATAGAATGCTGTAGCTGGAGCAGGCATGCTGTGTGGGTTGTGTTACAAGGATGCAGCTAGAACGTCCTGTCAATGCCAAGTGACATAACCTTATTACAGTAAGCATTGGTTTTAATTTGCACTTCAGGTTGGCCAAAGGAGTGAAAACAATAGAAACTATAATTACAGATCTGAGAAGAAATTTGTGATAAATGTGGCATGAACATGTGAACTGCAGTTATGGTTGACAGATTAGGTTAAGATAATATTTATTTCTCTTGCTAGGTTTGAAACTAACCGGTTCATTTTAACATTAGGGCAGAGTTAAAATATCTGTGTAAGTAGAAAAAAAGATCTGGAGTCGATATTTGTTGTTACTAAAATAAGAGCAGCATTCTTACAGTAAACTTGACCGTGGACAATTGATACTTTTGAATTACATACTAATTCCTGTGGTTAAAAATAGTCCAACAACACACCAGCATGAACCTGTAAATAAATTTCAGTACCCTAAATTAACCCGTCACAAAATTTTGTTAGCTTCTTTTTGTCTGTAGCAAAACAGATGCCATCTTCTGAGTCAAAAGCAAATAATTATGATTTGTTTTTATGCCAAGTGGAAAAATGTCCTTTCAGCCAGGATTCTCAGGAGCCCAGTTCCTTACTACTCATACCACTAGAATTACTGAAAAACATAATATGGCCAACACTGGCAATTCAATTCTGTTTCTCTTTTTTAGCTTTTCTGCTTATTATTTAGTAGGAAAAATCTGTATAAATCTTCAAGAGGCAAATGATGATGCCTTTGTATACAAAGTACATATTCCCATGAATCTTCATAGGTATTTTCCATAAAGATGTGCTTAATATTCACTGCAGCACTGCTTATGTGAAGTCTTTCATGCTTTTCCGAACTTCAAGAGCTTGGAAAGTCCATAATACAAACATAATGAAATGATGTTTCTTGCAGTCAGTCAGTTTTGTGTGTGCGTCACACAAGTTGCATCTGAGAAATCTTTAAGAGGCACTATGGGAAAGTCTCCCGTCATTGTTGCCTTAAATTAATCTATTGCAGTAATGTCAGGTATCAGTTTCTCAGTTATCCAGGAAGATGATATTGAACTTCCTGATTTTTTCAGTGTCATCATAATAGCTGGGAGTGTGAATTTCCAGCGGGAAGCTCTTCTGTTTTGTCATAGGTTTAATGTAGGCAGTATTCTTAGAAATGCAGGAAAATGTACTGCAAGGTGTTTTCAATATTTTAAGTTCAGCTCTACTATTGATGTGTAAAACCAGCATCTGGGAACTAAGCTGTAATAGTGGCTGTGCTTCCAGGCAGGATATTTCCTCCTCCTTTTGTCAGAGTGATGATACTGGCTGTAGCACTATGTATCGATTTCCTAACAGGCAGTTAGTGCAACAGTGTCAGGCTGTGGGGATTCTCTATTGGCCTAGGAGTGGGAGGGAGAAAGGAGACAAGGGATGGGATCGAACCGAAGAGCACGCTGTTACTTGCTAGTAAGCACTTTCCGAGAGCAATGCCGTTTTACACTCCCTCCTTGTTGGGCATCCAGTCATATCTGGCCTTGGGAAAAATCATCTTGCAAAATTGTTTTTCATGAAGAACAGGAAGTAGTTTACATTGAATGGCTTGACAGTTGAACAGGGTGCAGACTGGTGGCATACAATGCAATGTATCTTCAGGGAGGTGAAAACCATAAGAGAGAAAAGGTATTCTGCCTGGCTTGAACTGAGCAGCTGCTTGGCTCCTTTCTGTTGTCAGTCACCTCTACAGTCAGGGTGTGCTTTTGATAGTGGGTTTGTGTTTCTTTTACTGAAATACTGTTGTTCTGCAGACACATTTCACTCTGATGTGGTTTGCTTCTGAAACTGCTGAAGAAACATCAGTGTGATGATGTAGCTTGTCTTCCTTAACATTGACCCATGCTGTCTTTTCTCATTTACAGTGGTTCACGACTAGGATCTATTCATCACCATGATGTTCGGGTTCCTCGGCACCATGCTGGGACTCTTTGCCAAAACAAACAAAGCATTTGCAGCCTGAAATGGTCACTAACCAACCAGTTTCTGGCAAGTGGGTCTAGTGATGGTATATTGAATATCTGGCCTAGTGACCCTGGTGTGAAATTGCAGTCACAGCCACTGAAAACCATGCCTCATTCCTCAGCAGTTAAGGTATGTGGAGAAGGACTGTTTTTCTGTACTTGCATTCATGAAATCACATTGTTGATGTGGACAGTCAGAATTTTTCAAATTATCTCACCGATATCAATTAGTTTCTTCTCCCTGACTGTGATGCAGTTCATTTTAAGACCAGTTCCCCTGTTCCAATTCACAGATAATTTTCTAGGGCTTTGATTAGGACATTGTACTGTATTAGTAGGCCTTTGTAAATATAATGCCTTACAGCCTTCTCCTGTATCTCTTTGCCTTGCACAGAAAATTTTGATGGTGCAATACTTACGAGTTAACAAACAAGATCGTTCAATTTTTTGAGTTTTGGAAAATTGTCTCTGCTGCAGTTATTTTAAATATGAGGTTCCTTTTGCCCTGCTTCCCATATTTTCATGTCATTGCTGGTAGCAAATAGTCTGAAGTAGGAAACTGTAAATGAGACATTTTAAGATTCTTCATCTTTACCAAGTTCTGGTCTGTGTGGGAGAGAGGGACAGGTATTAGCAACAGTAGGCCCAGTAGAGTCTGGGGCTGGTCTGAAGCACGGGGATTAAAGGGTTAGAGGAGTTTATTGAAACAGGTGGAATTGAGTTTTTAGTAGCTTTTGTTCAGGTAGAGTCTGTGCCTTAGGTATATCCTGGAAGTATCTCAGAAGAAACCAGGTCTGTTGTAGGCCCTGTAAGTCATGTTGCTGAGGCTTCTGTGATGGCTTGGCTTAGGCTGTAAGACTCTATCCTGCTGGGTTCTGCTGGTACTGAGGTGTGAGTCTGTGGCCTGTGAAGGATAAGCAGAGAAGCTGGAGTTTATGAGCATATGTGGGACAGTGTAGGCTACTGTGAAGCAATGGCAAGGGAAGCAGCATTTGGAATTCTGGGGTCCTGCATTGCTGTGTATGTACATTCTGTGCACTTGTTGCAGTTCCTTTTTCCAACGAGGCTTTTCAGAAAAATCTACTTTGTTTCCAGCTAACCTCCTAGTCTGTTCTAGCATCTGTTTTATTTTTTTTAGGCTATGAACTGGTGTCCTTGGCAGTCTAAAGTCCTTGCTACAGGGGGTGGAATGAAAGATGGAATTTTGCGTGTCTGGGACATAAATCGTGAGAAAATCATCCAAAGTGCAGCTACAGATTCTCAGGTGAAATGATGAAATGTCTGCATACTTAGGCTATGCTCTTCTTGTATAGCTGTGCTCGTTTGGCAGACTCCCACTGACTTTGAGGGTGGTTCTGCGGTCAGAGGAACAGCAAGATTTTCTCTGGATGTGCAATTGTGCTGCATTCAGCAGCGCAATGTATGATTAGACTCAGAAGCAGTTTGTTGTTTCTCATTCAACCCTTCTGTCTCCCCACAGAAGTGATTGCAGAGGAGGTGGTTTCGCAGCCAGACACTTCTCATCATCTTTTCCTTATTGGCAGTTATAGTTTTGGCCAAAACTCATGATGTGAAGAGAATGTTGAGGGGGAGGGAAAATTCACAGAGTGCTGGGGTGAGAAGAGGTGTAATCCAGAGGGCAAACATCCATCCATGGAGTTTGAATATTAGGAGACAGAGGAACAGATTCTCAGCTGGACTAAGGCAGCATGACTGTTGATTTTTCTGGCACTATTACAGCTTAGCTGAGGATGTGTTTGAAGGGCTTTGGTTTTATACTGATAAGCTGTTGCCACGTTCAGATAGAACAATAAGGCAACTGTACATAGAAGCATTGTAAGGAATTAAATGATCCTTCTAAATAAGTAAATATTCTGCTGGAAGTATTTCTCAGTAGCTTGTTTAAACATTGTAGATAACATTTCAAATCTACTGAATGATGTTTGTTGACTGTTTCTGAAAAGTAAAGCAGAATTCTAAATTGCAATAGGTTTGTTCCTTGCTCTGGTTACCCAAAACCAGTGAACTGATGACTGCACAAGGCCTTCCTGGAAATCAGATGAAAATATGGAAGTATCCCATGCTTATCAATTCATCAGAACTCTATGGCAAGTATTTCACTTAATAGTTCTAACTATTTCAGTTAATTATCTGTCTAATCATCATGTTTTTGCAAGTCCATACCTTATGCATTTACATAAAAGAGTTAAAAGAGCAGTCACCTACACAACCTCCCTCTGCCTACACGCATACATTCATGTCTACAATCCAGATTCATGGGATTGTAAAGTTTGACTTATTAAGATAATAGCATAAGTTGTTTCACTAAAATTCCTTGTTTTGATGATGGGATTCTCTCCTGTCATTTTAAAGGCCATCCCAGGTGCAGGATGTGGAAATAAAAACTAGATTTAATTTTACCTTTGAGAATAGCGTATGGTGTAAAACATTTACCATGTAAGTCAAATGCATTGGTAATTTGATGAAGCTGGAGGGTTACTTATCACCCTGTTTCCTATTCAGTTTACTTACCTGCAAGAGGAGCTAATTGTCACGAACAAAAAGACCAGGTAATTGTTATGCAGATATATTCCTGTTTATGAAGACTCTTTAATACCTTACTATAAGCAGTTGAATGTTGGAAGAAATTGAGAAGGTATCAAAATAAGTTAAAAAAAAAATACTGTGATCGATGATTGTGAGATGGTGCTAAGTCAGTCTCATACACCCTTAACCACATGATTTTTACACCCAAAGAAATGGACAGATAAATTGTAACTGAATCTCATTTAATCCTCCTGCAAAATGCTGAAGACCATAGCTAACAATGAAGCCCTGTCAGCTACTGTTGGGTACTTGAGGTTGCTTATTACTGAGCATATTGAGAACAGGATAACAACTGAAAGATAGTAACCATTTTATAGCACTGAGTCCATTTTTTGAGATACTTCTGATAGAACTCTTAGAGTAATCTACTAGAAAAAAAGATTCATTTTGGATATAAATGCTCTCTCCTTAGAAAAGTTGTAGATCAAAGAAAACATACAAGCAAAGAAAATATCTAATTGCTTTGAAAAATGTCTGAATGTGTTCTTGAAACAATGAAATAAAACCAGAAAACATGGAAATTAATAATTTCAACTTTTCTGATTTCTCCCTATCCCCCTTCACTTCTTTTTGACTGAAACTATTAATCAAATTTCAGTCAGTATTGTGGATATTTTTGGATGCCTTCAAAGACTACACCTCCAGCTCTTCAGAGTCATTACAGACACTGAACAGAGACAGTGTAAAGAATGCATGGAATTGTAAACTCATGGTCTTAAATATTGACAAAGATCATGTACACTTCAATAACTTGAGAAGGAGTGAAGCCTGAAAATTAATCTCTGCTGAAATTGTTTAATGATGTCGTCAAAATTCTAGTCACAAAGTTTACAAGGGACACATGTTAGTCATCACAAGGACAGCAGATATTTGCTTGTAGTCACAGTGGCTCCGGAGAGCCATTGTAGCAGCTTCACAAAGTTAGAGCAGACTGTCCATCTTCAACAGTCCTATGGATCTTCATCAGGCACTATTGTGATAAGTACTACAGTTTGGGAAGGCTTTACAGTTCCTCACATGTTTATCCTCATAAAATTATTTTGAGGTAGAGAAGTGCTGTCCATTCGTGTTCATGGAGAACTCAGGTACAGATAATGGGAGGACATAGGTCACCTACATTCGTTCAAGTTGTTCACCCAACACTTCCTTCACACCTTCACACTTCCTTTTAGTATGTGGTTCATCTGATCTGTTTTAGATGAGATACACTATGTCTCAGAATTTTTTCCTCTTGGGTGACTAGCTCAACTATATGATTATCAGTAACTCATCCAACCAGAGAAGCTAAGGCCAGTAACTTAGAGTAAAAAGGCTTCTAATTTCTTATGTCCCTGTGTGCCTAAAAACCTCATGGATTTGCTTAGCATTGTCATTGTACTAGATGATACAGGAGGTCTGTGGCAGAGCAGTGAGGTAAATACAGATCTCAGCAGTCTCAGTTTAATACCAGGCTCTTTCTGCCTTCAGTTCAAATGCAGTTGCTTCTGCTGAGGGAGTTTCTTGTTTAACCAGGTTAATGAGTTTTGTAAGTTTTTTATGCTGCTAGACTGGGGTAGCTTCTGGCCTTCAGTGCCCAGGTCCCAAAGTTTACTACAACTGCATACAGACTCAATATTCAATCCTAATAAATTATTTATTGGTATCACTGTTAAAAGATCTCCTTCACAGTAACAACTGAGCAGCTGGAGACACTATCTCATTATTGTTGGCTCAGCTGCAAACTGTCTGCAAGACGTGTGCAGCCAGATGGGAGAGCTCAGCAGTGAGACACATTGCCAAACACAGATGGGACTGATGCTGTAAATGTGTGAAGAATCAAGAGTTCAGGTTCAGTATTCTCCTTTGACAGAAATGTCACAGAATCACAGAATCACAAAATGTTA